TGGCGCAAGAGCTTTTAATGTTTCGTATAACTTTTAATATTCAACAAAAGTCAGAACTAGTAACATAAAAAGTTATTCGTACAATGAATGTCACATTCTTCATTAATCGCGTAATCACATAGTTTATATACTATATACCAACAAATTTTATTCAACTAAGATGTTGCTTCCTTGGTATATATTGTTCACTACCGACTAGCATTCCCAAATATGTTCTGAGACGATAGAAGAAGCGAGGCTTCAATTTATATGATAAAGTTATACGAGGCAGTTACATTTTTATCTTTTGGCGCATGTTAACCTAACGTGCGCATCCATGGGAAAGAGATCAGCTCGGCACCCCTCTCAGAAGGCATTAGTGGCTCAGGAATCAGCTGCAATTCGTATAGCGCAACAGAAGCAGACGGTAAATCAATAGAAATCGGAAGGAATTAATCGAATTGTGGAGGAAGTTGCCCCGAGTGAAATTGATAAAATAGTATATGAAGAAATTTTTGAAGAACTGGTTTCACAACCACAGCAGGAGGGTGATGAGGTGATTGAGGTGATGATAAGTAAGAGTAGAATGTCATGGGCTGACGAAGTTGAAGCAGCAGACGAACTGACAAAAAAGGCTTCAATCTGGGAGAATTTTGACATTACAAAAATCACGAATGCTGTCTTTAAACTGGAATTTGTGTCTCCTGCGATGCATGGTAACTCACCTGTTTGTGAAATTGACATTGAGGATATTAGCTCAGAAATATCTTACCGGAAGAATGTTGTAGTTTGCTACGTACTAAGGGCTCACCCACCATTTATGGTTTTGAATGGTTATATATACAGAGAGTATGGGGCGGACATGATATAAACAAAGTATCAATGCTTAAAAATGGTATAGTATTGGAACGATTTGACACTAAAATGAGAAAGAATGGTGCAATACAAGGTGGAATATACCATTTCGATAACAAGCCAGTCATAGTTAAGACTTGGAGTCCGAAAATGGAATTCACAAGGGAGGAGCTTTATACTGTACCCGTATGGGTGAAACTGCCCGATTTGGATTTCAAGTACTGGAGTCCAAAGGGGCTTAATAAGATAGGGAGCCTAATTGGTAAACAACTAATGGTGGATCATAATACTGAGAAAAAAGTTGGATTGAATTTCGCTCGATTACTTGTTGAAGTGGATATGGATACAAAGCTACCAAAGTGTTCTTTAGAAATTAAAAGGGATAGTTAATCGAGCAGAAGATCCAATATGATTGGAAACAGTACTATGTAAATTTTGCCAAAAGTATAGCACTCAGAAAAAGTATGCAGGAAAAAGAAAGAGCCACAACCACATACTCAGCAGAGGCCCCAGTCACTAGAAGTTAGGGAGGTTCAGGTGGAGGGACAAAAGAATGACAAAGAGGTGAAGGAGGGGTAAGTGAATGTTGAAACTCTAAGAAGACCCCAGCCTCAACAAAAGAAGGGAAAATAAAGAAGGATGGGTTACCCCTGTTAATACTAGTAAACAGATCACAAACAAGAAGCAAGCAGGCATTATACAGGAGAATTCCTTTCAGGTTCTGGATAGAACAAGGACAAAGCAACACAAGTAAATGCGGTCTAATTAGAAATGAGGGAGGACAATTTAAACCTCTCTCTAGGGATGGATAGTATTTTGTGTTGGAATGTTAGGGGCTTGAATGCCCTTAACAAACAAAAGGAGGTCAAAGTACTATGTAATAGAGAAAATGTGGGGCTAGTAGGACTATTGGAAACAAAAATTAAGATGAACAATATGGATAAGGTGGATAATAGTATGTTGGAGGGTGGCAATTCATTACAAATATGGATTTTCACTATAATGGTAGAGTATGGTTAACGTGAAGGCATGATTACTTCCATGTTACTCAAATTAGTGGGACAGCACAGGCTGTAACACTCCTCAAATTTATAAAAGTTTCGAGACAAGCTAACTATAGAACTAAATTATTACTATTTTTATTATTTTTATCTTGCCTATATATATATATATATATATATATATATATATATATATATATATATATATATATAAAATTGGATATACAATTAGGAAAATATTAATAGTTTTAATATTGTTAATTATTAAAAGTGGATATCATTAGTTATTAGTTAAGTCAAAACAAAACAAAAAGGGGAAAACAATAAAAGTAAAATAATAAATAAAAAGGAGGGGGGGAGGGGCATGCGTATTTCTTTTTAAAACGTCAAAAGGCTTGAAAGCCTTAATCAAACCCAACTAAGAAAGAGGCCTGAAGGCAAGCCTTAACAAAACAGAAGGTTTAAAACTTTTGTTCGTGAGACTCACGTATCGATAAGAAACAGAGGCACCAAGGTTTCTCACACATGCAACGAAAATTCTAGGGTTCTTTACAAATCATCAATTCTTGAACTCAGGTATATAAAATTTCTATTGTCAATTACGTACCCTATAGTAGTAATAGGTAAGAATTAAATAGTTAATTCCCTTCTTCCTCAATATCAACAATAAATTTCATATTTAGGTGTAGTACTTTAAAAATTGATTAAAATGTACTGGTTGTTGTAGAATCGATTGTTTGACTGGTGTCAATTGGACTGGGGCCTACGTATTGGTTCGAGAAGTTTTGAGGTGAGTTGATATAACCCTTTACTAAAGTGGTTTAACTCACAAAAGCACGCATACAAGGTGTTTGATGAATTGCTTAAAAGAGTTTATATTTATTTAATTAGAGCGAGTGAGTACCCATTAACTTAGAATTGTTCTAGCAAAAGTTTAGATGATCTATTATGATAGATGTGCTTAAATTTTCAGATTTTTGTGTTAATTTTATATGCTATTTTCATGTTGAAAATTTATGAAGAAGAAAGAATCTTTAGGAATATTTTTACATGTTTATTTCATTCTTATGCCATGCTTTACATTTAAGGATACCAATATAAGCATGTACATGATGTTCTATAAAGAAAAGATTTAGACTTGAAAAGTCACAAGAAGAAGTTTTAGAAAGAAGAGATTTTTGGGAGTATCCTTTATTCTTAGAAGGGGTCATCGTCCAGGCCGAGGGTCCAAACCAAGACGTTGACTTCCTGAAACTACTTGTGCCAAGTAGGGAGCACATGAGCCGAGGGTCTCGTTGCTGAGAATTTACTTAGCCATGCTAAGGTATGACACATGAGCGCTGAGAACCATGAAGCGAGTGGCACCTCGTGGATTGGGCCTATTCGATCAGGTTGGGATCGAACCCGTGCCGATCACACGGGGACTGAGACAGAATTAAGTCAGGATAGTTAGAACTCCCAAAGTATAAAGTGAAGTATTTTTTTTATAAGAAAGAAAAAGAAAAGAATTTCTTTTAGAATATTCATAAACTGCTAGTATGCAATTATTTTAGAATTATTCTTATAAGCTTTATGTTTTACATGCATTTAGAACCTTTGCTCGTAATGTATATGTTTGTAAAGTTTCGGCCCCTGTTGTTCAGACTCACTGAGTACAAGGATGGTACTGACGTTCTCTTTTGGGAACCTACGTTGGTCTGCGGTACAACGTAGGAACCGATTTTGCAGGCGAGCAGGCTACGGGTTAGGACTTCCTTCTCTTTCAGTGCTATTGGTGAGCTCCGCTTTTGTTCGTGGAGCATCCCTTTGAGTCATCTTTATTTAGTTATTTCTTTGTTTACTTAGAGAACTGGCCAGGAAATCTCATGTCTTGAGCAGTGCGTCAGTTTATCAATAGAGGCTTCATAGACATAGTCGTTGTGTTAAGATGCAAATGTTTTTGATAATAACTTAGCAGTAATTCAGTAGTTACTACGAATAAAGTTTTGGAGTTGATTTATTTAAATATTTAAATTAATCAAAAGTATTTGGTTAGAGTATTGCCTTGTTGCATATAAAATTTGGAGTTATAATAAATTTGATAAGCAGAGATGGTTCGCTCGGTCATGTTTAGTGATCGAGTGCCGGTCCCGGCTTGTTCAGAAAATGGGTCGTGACACAGGCACTCACCTGTGAGGTATCTAATATTGCTTTACAGAAGAAACACCTTTTAACTGATGTATATGCTCATAACACTAGAGAGGAAAGGAGAGAGTTGTGGAAGTATCTGGAGAATGTAATTTCAGGGTGTAAAATCCCATGGTTGATTATGGGAGATTTTAACTCTGTCTTAAATATGGATGACAAAATAGGAGGCAATCCTGTTTGTCTAGCTGAAATTGTGGAGTCCACTCTTGTGTGGAAGCCTATGAGCTTATAGAACTTCCTCAACATGGGAGCAGATTTACTTGGAATGACAAGCAATGGGAAAACATAATTTATTCTAAAATTGACTGGGTGTTTGTGAACCAGGAATGGTTGGATCATATGTCATCCTATAGTGCTAATTTTTTAAAAGAGAGCATAAGTAATCATTGCTTGTCAAGATTGCTCTAATAAAAATACACCTATCCCCACCCCCACCCGAAAAGAAGACCTTGCAATGTATGGGCAACACATCCAAAGTTCATGGATATAGTGAAGGAAGAATGGCTAGAATCCAGTATAGGGATGCAACATGTTTCAGATAGTAAAGAAACTTAAAAGTTTAAAAAGGAAGCTTAGACAGTTGAATGGCCAACACTTCAGAAACATCATCACAGAAGCAGATGAAGACCGGGACAATCTAGCTCAAATACAAAAAGTGCTCCAAAATGATCCAACAAACATGGAGCTGCAGAAACAAGAGGGAGGAATATCAAAAGTTTAAGAAATCATCCTACTTAGTATAAATGTTTCTGCAACAAAGAAGCAAGGCAATACGGATCATTTGAGAATAATAGATGTTTTTATTCAGTGATCAAACATAAGAAACTTCTAACAAGTCATTATATAACTCGGAGATAAATATGACTTGTTACAGACTGAACAAGAAGCAATAACTGACATTCTTGTAGATTGGGGAATAAGGAAAGGCACAGAATAAAAGCCTTTAGTATTATTTTGAGGAGAGGACAAACATTAGCCATGGAGCAACAACTGGAGCTGACCCAACCTTATACAGAAAAGGATGTAAAACAAGCTATGTTCAATATAGACAGTAACAAAACCTCAGGTCCTGATGGCTATGGCAGTGGTTTCTTCAAGGCAGCATGGAGTGCAATTGGGCAGGAGGTAACTAATGCAGTGCTGCAGTTCTTTGAAAATGGAAAACTGTTACAGCAAGTTAACTCTACTATAATTTCCTTAATCCCTAAAGTATCAAATTTACAGAATGCAAGCCAGTTTAGACTTATTTCTTGTTGTAATGTCCTATATAAATACATCTCTAAGATGATATATGTGAGACTTAAAAAGGCAATCACACATGTAGTGGCAGATAACCATGCAGCCTTTGTTGAAGGCAGATCTTTAACTCATAATGTGCTAATCTGCCATGACTTGTTGAGACACTATAATAGAAAAACATCTCTTAGGTGTCTTGTGAAGATTGATTTAAGAAAAGCCTATGATATAGTGAGCTGGACTTCGTTGAAGAGGCTCTTAAAGGGCTGGGATTTCCTGGAACTTTTGTGCAGATAGTAATGACATGAATGTCTACTATCAGGTTTCCTGTCAAGGTAAATGGTGAAGGCTATGGATACTTTGAAGACCTATATCACCACTGTTGTTTATTTCAGTAATGGAGTACCTCTCAATAACCTTGAAAGCAATAAGTGAGCTCCTAAATTTCAGATTCCATCCGATGGTTTTTTGCAATGCAGATATGCAGTCTATCTCAAAGGTGATGGAAGCTTTAGACCATTTCAGTGAGGTGACAGGGCTAGTAGCAAATCTAGACAAGTCCAACATTTTCATAGCTAGAGTTGCTGCAAATTTCAAAGATAGAATACTGGAAAAGACTGGATTCTCAATAGGTGCCTTGCCTATTAGATATCTGGACTTTCTTTGTCTTCTAGAAAATGGAGCAAAGTAGAATGCTACAATTGGTAGAGAAGATTACAGGGAGGATAAACAGTGCATACTCCAGGAAACTATCATATGCTGGAAGGCTTCAGATCATTAATGTTATACTCTTTTCAATCTATAATTTTTGGTGTGCTCTATTCATCTTACCACAGAGTATATTAAGGAAGTGGATACAAAATATAAAGACTACCTATGGAGGAGCTCTAAGGACAGGAAGAAGATGGTCTTAGTAGCTTGGGACAGAGTGTGCTTACCAAAAACGTTTGGGAGACTGAACATTAGAAGCTGTAAGACATGGAATATTGCTTCATGAGTACGGAAATTGTTGTGGTAGCTGCCTGAAAAACAAGACCTATTATGGGTGAAATGGGTTGATGGGATATATATTAAGACAAGTGCTAATATATAGGAACATACACCACCAACAGACAGCAGTTGGTATTGAAGGAAATTAAACTCATTGAAAGGCCAAATGATAAGTTGGTATCATATAGGGAAATACACATTAATCCCAAGTGATTACTCTGTGACAAAAAATTATGTAGCTATGTTGGGGGATCAAAATAGAGTGAATGAAGCTGTTCTAATCTGGAAATCAGTTATGATGCCAAGGCAAAGAGTAATTGTGTGGCTTGCCTATGATGAGCGCAAAACACAACACAAAATTTATGATCGCTAGCCAAAGATAGTATAGTAAAACTATCGTCTCCACATGGATTGGATTTAAACAATGTTCAAATAACTTATGATTTAACGTTATTCAGGATGATCAACACTTGATTTGAGGTAATTACTAACTACAATAACTACTAAATTAATATTATGACTAATTAGACTTGACCAAGAAGAATGAGAGTTGAACTAAAATGGGTTGTAAACAATATGAGAAATAAGGGCTGCGACAAAAGAGGTGTAAGATAGCTATTTGGGATCTAACTCTGTTTAAATTCACTTCTAATGTTCTAATGATTCTCACAAATTCACTCGATAATTAACTTAAACGTAAGGTTAAGATTTCTCTCTCGATTATTCTGAACTCTACAAAATAAAGTAATATGAAGCACTGCGAAGATATGCAAGAACACTTTAATGGACTAGTCTTTAGGAAAACGTCTCTCGAATATTCTCCTAACTTGGTTTAATCAATAATTCAAGAAGCTCTCTTGATCACTTAGAAGAATCACTAAATTAAACCAAACCAAATAATGCAGAATTAATCACCAAATATATTCATCTTTCGATTAAATAAACTGGTGAACAAATTTACAATCAATTCAAATCACCACACATGGATTCATGCAATTAAACTAGAGTTAAATTTATAAATAACACTCAAAACATCATATCCGTCAAAACCTTAGGGAAGAACTACTCCATAAATATGGAGAAATTCATCATAAAGAAGTTTAAGAACATAAAAAATATCAAAGACAATTTTACGATACAAACTCTCGTATTGCACCGATTGTTGGCAAGAGAATTGATGAAATCTTGTGTTTTCAAGCCGTGGTAACTCTCTAAAACTCTCCTAGGACGAATCCCCCTTCAAAAATTGTGTTTATACTGTTTTTATATCGAGTATGGGTGGAAAAATTGCACAGGCGAAAAATTATACAGGCGACCGCTGCTCGTTACACTAATGGAGAAGTTCAGAACCTTGGCCAACTTAAATTTCTGCTGCTGTTTCTATTGCTGCGGCGCTTCGCGCGTCGCACAATTGAATTTCCTATGTTGCCTCTTTCGTTCGTCCCCAGTAATGACTTTTGTAAAGGGATTGACATCAAGGCATTTAATTGTATTTTTTTCAAAGTCCCAATATGCCTCACGTCATCATTAGGCCATAATTTTGGCCTTTGAACATTTTGCTTAATTTTTTCTTATACATAATCGATCCTCGATCCTCGATTCTCGAATCCGATTCCGACTTTAAATCTCAAACTTCTACTCAGACTTCAAAGTTTTCTTTTACTCATTTTAGCTTAAAAAATATATCTTAACTCGGAATCACAACCTACACGACAAAAAACACATAATGAGTATAAATTATCTACATTTTGGCTCAAACTTGGTTAAGGTGTAGTCAAATAATAGGTGTAAAGTATCCAAAAAGTCGTATTTTTAGTCTACCATCAACCTACCATGACAGACTGCTAACAAAAGAGAGGTTGCATAGGCTACACATACAGGTTGATATCTATCACACGTGGCAAGCCAAAAACTGGAAATTGCTCAGGAATGCCACTGTCAATACTGAGTTACTATACTATAAAGCAGATTCAAAGTGAGATTGGGGAAAGATTAGGATCACTGCATAGATACATGACTACACTTAGGAACAACTGGTTCATTAATAGGTTATGTAACTAGTTTGGGACTCAATAGTGGACTTAGCCATGTTTTCAGGTAGCCTTCGAGGTTCGGTTGTTAAGAACAACCTTCTTGGAAGGGGCTCTAACACTGAATGCTCTTTTAAGTGTATATGAGTTTTGTTGTTAATGGTAATTTCACAGGTTATTACTGTTGCTCCCTAACGCACACGCAAGTATACGTGGTCGACAAGTAATATAGGATTGTAAGTCCAGATATCGTACCCACAGGGACTTGTGATTAACCATCAACTAAATTAAATCAAACAATTAATCTATTCAAGCGAATCCTAACATATGAATATTTAACTAAAATTAATCTAAAGTAACAAATAAAAAGATTAAAGAAAATAACGATAAACTTAAAGCCGAATTCAATGTGAGTGAATATTCTAGAGCTATGGGTTAGCTAACAATCCCGTTGAGTTTTTCACTTAAATTGTCTAATTAATTTATCTAGTTTATTGATTGACGGGGTTAATATTGCTCGTAGCCTTCTCCCGAAGTACAACTCGCCTATTCAAGCTAACCTAACGCCTATATTCCTATGGAATTAGAATTAACAAGAACGCATTTATAATTCCCGTATAATAACCAAGCAAGGCGATTAGGTATATTCCTATCCTAACCGCAAATCCGCTCCCCCTAAGAGTTAAGATCTTGCTCTACTCAATCTTATATGCAATCTAGAATTCCCTCTCCCGAGGTCAATCCTAGATTCGTAGATAGTATTCAATTGGTGATCAAGCAATCAAATAATTAAGCGCAAGATTGAATAAATAAACCAATATGATAAAATAATAAGAACAATTGAAGCTTCAAACTACAACGTTCATGTAACACCCAAAACTCTAGAACTAATAAACTATAAAATTAAAGGAAGAAAAGAGAAGAAAAACTAGTTAGAAGCCTCCTCCAAGCGTGGTATGTGTTCCTCCACGTGAATTCTCCTCCAAAGTATGTTAGATCTCCTCCAAATTAGGTTTAGAACCCCTTATATATGAGTTGGGACCGTGTAGGACTGAAATAACCTTGTCCCGGACGAAGTAAGAGAGTACCCGCAACACAGCATCCAGGCCAGCGCTTAGCGCTGGACCTGGCGCTGAAAACAGAATGCTTTTACGTCTCCAATTCTTCAATCTTTCTTTTGAATTCTAATTTTCTCTTTTGTTGTCTCCACTTGGGGGACAAAGACCATAGGGTGTCCTCCCTTATTTTATTTATTTAATATTCTTTCTTTTTCTTCCGCGTTTAATTCAGTTTTGCTCCAAATCTTTTCATCTTCACATCGCTTTATTCCTACACAGTTAAAATATAATATTTAGCACAAAATAATATTACTAATACTCAAAAGACGATTAAAAGTACTAGAATATGAGGCAACAATGGGTAAATATATGCATTTTTGGCCGAACATCAACACCCCACACTTAGACTCTTGCTCGTCCTTGAGTAAGCATTAAAATCACTCTCAATAAATCAAGCCAAGAAGCACCACCACTTTGGTTGATACTAACAATTAGGCCCTATAGCAACTCAAACCATCATATACACACTTCCTCCTCATTGTGCAAGATATATAAGTCACAAACAAACAACAAACTTCTAACCTCCTAACCTCATAGCTGGACTCAAACTTACCAAATTTAAGCTTGCTCACCTACTCTGTCAAGAAGCTAATAACATCACCTATCTATCATGAAACAAGTGCCCTCACAACAAAAAATAGTCCATACACTCAAATCAATGAATGAATATAATTTAAGGACTTAGCATCAAAGAACAACTCTCGCACTCACAAAGAATTTACATGTATGCACAAAGAACCATAGGCTTGCCCATTATGTACATCTCTACTAATTAAGCATGCTCGAATAGAATCAAATAGGACTTTTACGGGTTGTAATGTTGGCTAAAGAACGGGTAGGAGAATTATATAATAGTGACTTACACTTCCCTAAGCACTTTGCATTTTTAGACTTCATCACTCATTATTTTCTACTCTTCACTTTATTTTCAGCCTTCTCTTCATCTATTGCTTCACAAGTATTTCCCTCATATCAAGAGCGTTCAATTTTTTTTTCGAAGCAATTTTTTTTTCATTCTCTTTTTTTTTTTCATTTTTTTATGCATGTCACATTCTTTTCAAGAGGGCCTTTTTATCACTTTTCAGCTATCGTTGGTCACCAATTTTTTACGTAACCATCCCTTTCTTTAGATTTCACAATTAATATCACGGTCTAAGCA